ACCAAAAAGGAGAAACCCTGTCCTAGTCAGAGGAATTGGCAGGTATTACTGATCAGCTATATATTGAAGAAAGGCCATATATATATATATATATATATATAAGAGGAAGTATTCAGCAGCTGAATTCTGGGCTGAGAAGCAAATGAAGGAGAAGGTTCTTGCTACTGTTGCTAAACCAGCTGGTGGTGACAAGAATGGTACCCAAGATTAAACTTTGCAAAATGCCTAGGTATTACCTGATTGAAGATGCACCTTGAAAGCTGCTGAGCCACAGTAAAAAACCTTTCAAGCAGCATGTGAGAAAACTGTGAGCAAGTGTCACTTCTGGGACCATTCTGATCATCCTCACTGTGTGCCACAGAGGCAAGAGGGTGGTTTCCCTGAAGCAACTGAGTAGTGGTTTGCTACTTGTGACTGGACCTCTGGCCCTCACTTAAGGTCCTCTGTGTAGAACACACCAGAAATCTGTCATTGCCAACTTCACCAAAATTGGTATCAGCAGTATGAAAATCCCAAAACATCTCACTGATGCTTGCTTCCAGAAGAAAAAGCTGTGTAAACCCAGACTGCAAAAAGGTGAGATCTTCAACACAGAGAAGGAGAAATATGAGCTCACAGTAGTGCAAGGTTGATCAGAAAGCTGTGAACTTGCAACTTTGCCAAAAATCAAAGCTGTTCCTCAGCTTCAGGACTATTCTATACTCTGTGATTTCTCTCACAAATGGAGTTTATCCTCAAATTGGTGTTCTAAAATTTCTTACAAGGAACCTAATTAAATAATTGATCCGTTAAAAAAATAAATTATCTTTTACTTACTTCTATTAAGGTTTTAGGTTAGTAGTTTTTCAGCTCTACCCATTCCATAGCATCCCCATCAAATCACCAGTTTTATTGTCTTTTACTTCTCAATATGTGAAATTAACTTCAATTATTTGAAGTAGAAAATAAACTAGAAAATAGAATCTAGAAAATAAACTTTACAAAGAAGCAACTGAATGTTATAAGAATTTTACTCAAATGTTTCATTCTGGGGCTCCTGGGTGGCTCAGTGGGTTAAAGCCTCTGCCTTCGGCTCAGGTCATGATCCCAGGGTCCTGGGATGGAGCTCCGCATTGGGCTCTCCGCTCAACAGGGAGCCTGCTTCCCTCTCTCACTCTCTGCCTGCCTCTCTGCCTACTTGTGATCTCTGTCAAAAAAAACAAAACAAAAAAAACCAACAAAAAAGAAACTTGGGGAAAAAAAGTTTCATTCTAAGAAATTCATTCATTATAAACAGTTTACTTGTTGATGCAAAGTAGTTGATGTTCTGCCACAATTTATTGTTTTCAGTGGTTATATAGAGATAGGCTTAACTGTACTACAGAATCTAAACACTCTGCTTAAATAGACCTATATTTTATACTGGGCTGAAACAATATTTCTATAAGCAGTTAGAGCTATACAAATGAAAGATCAAGGAGGGGACTGTTTTGAATAAAAAGTCTTCGAAATATAAGAACAGAATCAATGATTTTTTCCCACTTCTTCTCTCTGTGTTTCTTGGTGTAACATGGAAAATGCCATTTAAAAAAATATGTGGGGTTTATAATGGAAATGTTAGATGACTGCAAATTGCATCACTGAGATGACAAATGCTTGAAGACAGTGGACCTCAACTGGGGGTGGGGAGTGGGGATTTTGCCCCCCAGGGAATTTTTGGCAATGTGTGGAGACTACCCCTTTTATTTTAATTAATATATTTTTTTAATACCCGTGGGGTGCTACTGCCGACGTTCAGTGGGTAGAGATCAGGGACGCTATTAAACATCCTGCAATGCACAGGACAGCCTTCCACAACAAAGCCTTATCCAAACGGCAATAGTGCTGCCAATTCCTGCTCTGAGAGAACTGTCCAATGCTGTCTTTCACAACTGACTACAGGCATGATGGACTAAGCTTTTAAGCTGCGCATAAGCCACTTAGATATCTAGTACATGGAGCTCTGGTTTCCTTTGGAATGATAATTTGTTTGGCAATGTTTTCCGTTTACTTCCATACAGTTAACATGATTTCTTGTAACTGAAAATATATCCAGAGCACATTAAGAGATTTTCTAGATACTTTATAACTACATAGTTTTGAGTATTAAGAGATTTGCTTAAAAAGATTAGAAACACATCAAGGCATTCACCACACACCCAACTATATGTTTATCAATAAATGATAATAAATTTAGTCAAAGATCTTTTAAGTACTGTGGTATATTTAACATTTTAAACTTAAATGGTTTTGATATTTTTCAGTGCTTACTTTTTACTACTTGCATGTGAAAATTAATTTCATTTTTAAAATGAAACCATACACAAACTTCTTTTTACTGAGCTTGTCAAAACTTTAATTTGAACATTGATACTTCATGATGTGAGAGAAAAATATTAGGAGTTTGTATTGGATCAAAAACATAACTTTGGTTTTGTGCTCTTTCCAACAACTTTGACCTGACATAAAACTTTCTCAATTCCTCTTGCTTAAAATTCAAACCAAACCCCCACCCCAAAAGCACCTACTCATCTGTTTCCTACCTTTCACCAGTACATGCTTTAAAGTATTTGTTACGTTGTTATTACGTTGTTCTGTACCTTCCTCCCCCAAAGTGTTCCACCTTGGGTTTCTTGTTCATTTTTGTCTGACATATTTGTTCTTAATGAGCTTAAACAGTATTATGAAAAAATCAGTAGGGCACTATTATTGCCTTTATTAACTAAGACAAAGAATAATTTAAGACTAATTTTGCATGGTGATACCTATGTACCTTAGTCTTTATTCTCTTGTTTTACATTTCATTTCTCAGTATAGTGGTGGTTAACAGTTGAGGTTTTGATGTTAGCTGAATCTGTGCTCAAGATCCACCTTTACTATTTGCTGGCTCCTTGACCCTGGGAAAATGACCTGCCTTTTTTTACACCTCTCTTTCTAGATCATTATACTGGGGATAATGATAGGATCTACCATAAGTGTTTCTGTGAAAAGCAAATGAGATAATGTTGTGATGTTCTTAGCACAATAACTACCACACAGCAAGTGCTTAGTAAATATTAGTTATTAATTAATATTCCTGTCAGGGGTGCCTGGGTGGCTCAGTTGGTTAAGCATCTGACTCCTGGTTTAAGCTCAGGTCATAATCTTAGGGTTGCCTTGCATCGGGTGACTGACCCTCACATCAGACTCTGCATTCACTGAGGAGTCTGCTTCAGATTCTCCCTCTCCCTGACCCTCCCTCTGACACCCTACTCTCTCTTTCCCTTAAAAAAATTCTTATCAGTCATATAATAAGTGCATGAAGGAATAATTACTATGGTTATTAAAGACAAATTTGGACAGAAAGCTATCAGGAAGGATAAGCAACATTTTTTTCTGGATTTTTGCTGTTTAGTTTTTGGTAAAGGATAATATATTTTTAGTTTACGTAAAAACTTAGCTCTTCCTGGCGATTCACAGACCTGTACCCCTGGGGATAAAAATATATTATATGTTTATAAAAAATAAAATTTAATAAAAAAAATTTTTAATTAAAAAAAAACTTAGTTCTTCATCTGTGAAAATAATGCTTAGGTCTGTGTTCTTGACATTACTGCAATATATAAAATTGAGATATGGAATAAAGATGTACATTAAATAAGACTGGAAGGAAAACCAGTCCGATTTATTAAAAATATTTTTTAAAAAACCCATAAATAAAATAATCAAGATAAAAGTTGTCTATTCTCATTCATTTATGTAAGACTAGAAGGATTTTCATTTGGTGACTAAATAAAAATATTGACAAGAGTCATATCAATTGTGTTATTACTGGTCAAACATATATAAAGATCAGAATAATAAAAACTATACATAAAGCATAATAATATTATTAAAATAACATTAATAAATAATATCCTAATATATATCTATAATATATAATAACTATATATAAAAATGAAACAAACTAATACTATCTTGCTTGCATTTACTATGTAAAAACATAGTGCTTGGTATTTTATATATATTACCCATTTAATCTCACATCATAGGAGTTCGAAATGCTTTTGAATAGCCATTTTATAGAGGAGGAATCTGATTAATAACAGTCTAATTGCTTTAAATAATAAAGCAACTGGGAAGTAAGTGAAAACTGGTACACTAAATAATACCCTTTAGGGATTCAGTGTAATCATACCTGTGCTACTTCAAGAAATCCGTCTCATTCCTTTAACCACCTATTTTATTCTTTATTTCAGTTTATAATCAATTCAAAATACCAGAGTGGGGCACTTGGGTGGCTCAGTTGGTTAAGTGTCCAACTCTTAATTTCAGTTCAGGTCATAATCTCAGGGTTGTGAGATGGATCCCTGTATCTGGCTCCACTCTGGGCATGACCTGCTTAAGATTCTCTCTCCCTCTCTCTCTGCCCCTCCCCAGCAAACAAACAAAAAACCCAGAAAAACAAACAAAAAACCCAAAATACCACTGTGGTCCAAGATCAATTTAATACTTTGGTAAATAACTCTGAATTGAAAGTTTATTTTTTTCTCAGGGTTAGAATATTTATTACTACTAGCCAACCAGCTTACCATTTTACCTTCAACATTATGTTCTCAATTATTAGCTTGGGCCCCCTCTATGATGTCATCACCTTCCAGGATTCTCCCATTCAAAAAGGCTTTTGAATTTAAGATTTTTTATTTTAATTAGTTATACAGTCTTTAAATAAATGCAGTTTATTATCTTATTGCTCCTGCTTTACTTATAATTTCCATTTGTTCTGTTACTTGCTTTTTAGCTGTTTTGGTTTGAGAACTGGTACATGGTATCTGAATAAACCTAAGGAGGAGTCTCTCTAGAGATGTATGATCTCAATATAATTAGACGTTTTTCACAAATGGGAGAAAAGTAGAAGGTAAATTATTTTGTATCATCTCAATTCATTACTCCTAGAAGTTCTCCTGTTTTGTTTTTTATGAAAACAACAATCATATACTGACCTTGGACTCATCTAATCCAAGCTTCTTTAGAGACTTTCTGACATAGTCCGGAAAGGAAGAGGATTTGGAATAAATTTTACCAACGTGCCGATCACTGCAAAATAAAAGTGAATCACTTTTTAGTTTTCCCAATTTAAGTTACAGATGATTTTAAATTCAATTATGAAATATTTTTAAATACTTCCTGTATATATGGCACAAGCTTCAGATTTGACAAAAATGGAGTAATATTTTTGTAAATATTTTAAAATTACATATTATAAAGTGTTTAAGATCTTCTTCTGAGAATTCCTTCAACATACAGCAGTGGAAAACAATATCTGAAGACAATACTATGAGAAAGAACTTGTAAACTTACAATATTAAAAAGCTTAATTTTTAAAGAGAACTATAGGTCTTTCGAAAGTTTCCATTATGCCACAAAACACATTTAATTTTACTGGCAACATTATAGTGCATATTTCACTGCAACACCTGCTAATGATGGCGATAATTCAACAGCTATGCAAAGAGAACTCCTTCAGTGCCAGCCATTAAAGCACCATATGCTGAGTTGAGTCTGACTTGATCTCATTTATGCCCTGCAGATTTTCACCACAGTTTAAACAAAATATCATCAGATGGTTTTAAATTTAAATAATGAAATGCTAGACTATCACATCACACAATTTTGGTTGCAACTGAGGTAGAATATAGAAAAAATTAAAAGAATAAAAAATTCACCACTTCCAAGTTATCAAAAACAATGAATAAAACCTCACTTACTACTTTTCTTTGTTTGTTTCAGGGGTACAGGTCTGTGATTCATCAGTCTTATACAATTCACAGCACTCACATACGCTCCCCAATGTCCATCACCCAGACACCCCATCCCTCCCACCCCTCTCTACTAAAGAAACTCCCAGTTTATTTCCTGAGATTAAGATTTTCACTTATCACTCTTGGCAGTATAAATATTAATCCCTCTAATTAGACATGAAGGTCTATCAATTCTTCTTTTGAAATGTATCTCAAATATATTCTCTTAGCTCCATTTCTAGATGGCCACCTCAATTCCATTTAAGATTACCACAAGTCCTAATTATTATAGCTACTTACTATTTAAGCCTGAAGTCTGTCCTCTTCATTTCTGCCTGCACTGTCATATTTTCTTAGAGGAACATTTTTATTTACTACTTCCCTGCTCAAAAAACTTTCAATACCTTTGCCATTTCTTGGGGTAAATTTGAAACTCCTTAGTTAAGTGATCAGGGCCCACTATTTTCTGGCTATTCCCACACTTTCCCATTATAATCCAGAATTCAGTTTTTTCTACTCAATGTTTCAGATTATTCACCACAGTTATGTGTTGGTGAATTTGCTTATTTACTCACTTCCTAACAGATTTTAAGGTTCTTCACTCTCTTCTTCAGTTCAGCTAGAGTCACCTATACAAACAAGTTCAAATTATGTATTCTCTTTGGTAACATGACTAGCAACAATCTTTTCTAGTTTCTATAGCCTGAATCCTTCTTCATTTGTTATTTCATCATTGCTTTTAAATAATAGTTGTTTGAATAAGTTCCAGGAAACAGAAATTACATCTCTTATAAGTTTTTGTGTAATTCTCAGTTCCTACACATACTTATGTATCTTATGTGTAACAGACACTATATAATAAGTATGTATATCTTCCCTACTATAGGTAGTAAAAATAGAAACAGTAAGACCATTTAGGAAGTTATTACAATAATCTAGAGGAGAGGTTTAAATCAGGGTGGTGACCTTGAGGATGGTTAGAAGTAAGAGAATTTTAGATATATTTTGATGGTAGAGACTATAAAAATAGTTGAAGGACTGTATCTAGGCAGTGTGAGAGAGATGTCAATACTACCTCCAAGATTTCTAGCCTGAGCAATGGGAAGAATAAGACTCTTAGTAACTGGACTGTAGTTTGGGATATATCAGCATATAGATGGTATTTAAAGCCATGAACCATGATGAAATCACCTAGGTAGTAACTACAGATTAAAAAAAAAAAGAAGAAAAGAAAAGAAAGGGGCGCCTAGGTGGCTCAGTGGGTTAAGCCTCTGCCTTCGGCTCAGGTCATGATCTCAGGGTCCTGGGATCAAGCCCTGCATCGGGCTCTCTGCTCAGCAGGGAGCCTGCTTCCCCTTCTCTCTCTCTCTGCCTGCTGCTCTGCCTACTTGTGATCTCTCTCTCCCTCTGTCAAATAAAAAAAAAAAAAACTTAAAAAAAAACTTTAAAAAAAGCACTCTAACAATTAGAGCTTTGAAAGAAGAGGAATCAAAAAAATAAAGCAAAAAAAGAGAGAGAGAGAGAGAAAAGAAAAAAGGTATCTTATGAAGGACTTTGCTTACAATATGAGAGAAAAAGGACCATCACTTGAGTGTTAAATTATATAAAATACTGATGAGGGCCAAGTAAGATGTTTGAGAATTGACAGTGGGATTTAGAAACATGGGTCATTAGTGCCCCTGAAAGCGTTGTTTGAGGGTGATGGAATTCTGATTGGAATTCAAGAGCAAAAGGGAAAGAAATTGGCAGCATCTTCAAGAAGTTTTCCAGTAAAGAAAAGAACAGATAAAAGATAGTTGAAGGGGAATATGGGGTCCCAAAAGGATTTTCAGAATCTATGCTCTTAAGCACTAGGATACATCATCTCTCATTTAATAAAACTAAAAACTGGCCACTGAGGAACTCACTAGGTGGTAGAGCAGTAGAAACAAATGACTAATTGTACTATCAGGTTTGATCAGAATTGCAAAGTCCTATGACTTTGATACTATGACACTGATTAAGTCCTATGGGAGAAGAGGGTGAGAAGGAGAAAAGAAAGATATCACAGAGATGTCTTCTAAACTGGGTTTTACCTGCCAGAAGCTGTGGAAGGAAAGGGTGGCAGAAATGGGGAGGATATTCCATGTAGATAGAGGAACTCCAAGGAAATACAGCAGATTTAAGGTTAACTGCATGGGAAATGATGAATAATCCAGGGTGCCAAGACAGTGTGCATGGGCAGCTGCTTCGGGTGCAGAGGGAAGAAAAATGGGGTGATGGGTTAGGCTGCAAAGGATCTTAGTGACAAAGCAGAAATGGCCTTGAATGCAATAATAAGGATATTTTATTGTTTGAATATAAAGAAGAATTTCAAACATTTTGAAGTTAGAAAAGTGACATGACTGTTTCTGAAAGATAAATGATAGGACTTGAAGAACAAATTTAAAGAGAGCCCTCTGTCAGAATAAAGCACGGTCAGCATGCTAAAAAGGAATTAGTATTCTTTCGTTTAATAAAAGTGAATGCAGTAGATCTAATTAAAATTCTACTCAAGTGAATCCAACACCACCCACATGCTTTTTCAAAAATACAATTGCAAGAACATGGTTTACATGTAGCACTTTCCAAAGAGGCAACATTAGTGTAGGAAATTTTAGGAACATGTGAAGTAGATATATACTAAATAAATGAAAACAAGCACATGCAGGACAGAAAATGACAAAATCCAGTTTCTCCATCACTACAAAATACTTATAAAATAAATTATTTTGTGCCTTTTTTATGATAATAGATACTGAAAGACTTGAGATCCACAACATAAAATTTTGCTGAAAATGTTCTTCAAACTACTCTTCAAATTTACAAGACAGACTTCCTAACTTCAATTTGGCAACACATTATAGATTAAGTAACTAGTTTTTTTTTTTTTTTAAGATTTTATTTATTTATTTGACAGACAGAGATCACAAGTAGGCAGAACAGCAGGCAGAGAGAGGGAAGGAAGCAGGCTCCCCGCTGAGCAGAGAGCCTGATGCAGGGCTTGATCCCAGGACCCTGAGACCACGACCTGAGCTGAAGGCAGAGGCTTTAACCCACTGAGCCACCCAGGCTCCCCTAAGTAACTAGTTTTAATTTTATGAGCCAGTTATTATAATCTGGATTATAACTTTTCTATTTGATTATAGAAAAATCAAAATGAAATTATGTAATATATAATGGTATCAAAAATTGTAATATTTATTGTACAGCTATATACCATACTTATTATGAAAGAGAATAACTGAGTAAAGTGTATATATTTCCCCTGCTTTCTAAGTGTTTGAAGAGATTTTTACACCATGAAATTCCTTCTTTGATACTTTATTCCTCTTAGAAAGTTTCCAGATAAGGACTGATTATAAAATCAAGAGTTTTCTATAAATTATTGAGTTTGAACATAAATGTTAAATGCTCAATCACAATTAAAATTAATAGAGTAAAATGGTATTATTTAAGTCCATGAAAAAGTTTACTTCTCATCTTAGGCTATAAACAATTACACTTAAACTTTTAGAATAATGTTTCAGATATTCTAAAACTGTGTGTCACTTGCACATTATTTTAGTTAACAAGAAAATACATTAAGCAAAATGAGAAAGAAGTAATTAGGTAATCTTATTTTCTGTTTCTAGCATTTATACTTTTTTAAAAATTGAGGTATACTTGACATATAACATCATATTAGTTTCAGGTATACAAGGTAATGACTCAATTTTTGTATACACTGTGAAATGATCACAAGTCTAGTTAATATGCACCATACATAGTAAGAAAAACATTTTTTTTCTGCTGATGAGAACTTTTAACATTCGCTCTCTTAGCAACTTCTGGTAAGCAATAATAGTAGTATTATTAACAAACAACAGGCACCATGCTGTATATTAAATACCCATGACTTACTTATTTTAAAATTGAAGGTTTGTACCTTTTGACCCTTTACCCACTCTGACCACTTCCTACCTGCCTCTTCTCTGGCAATCACCAGTGTGTTCTGTGTATCTTCTAGCTTGCTCTTTTGTTTTATTTTGTTTTATGTTGTTTTGATTCGTTTTGCCTTTTTTAGATACCACATATAAATAAAATCATATGGTATTTGTTTTCTCCACCTGACTAATTTCACTGAGTATAACGATGCCCTCAAGGTCCATCCAACTTTGTTAGAAATGGAAGATCCCATTCTTTTTTATGGCTGAGTAGTATTCCATTTGTGTATGTGTTTCTTTATCCATTCATCCATCAGTGGACACTTAGGTTGTTTTCGTATCTTGGCTATTG